ATCCTGAATCGAAAATTGATGAAATCCGAAACCGAAACTAGGTCCGAAAGTCCAGGGGTTTCGGTCACATGTATAATGTAGACGTAGTTCAGTAGTTATCGCAGGTTAATATGATCGACCAATTAGATCACAGGATCTTGTGTAACAAAAATGAACGAAAAATTAGGGAAAAATAGTCAAAATATTAAATATCTCGAAATTTCATTATGTAAACTAGTCTTAGGCTTCTAATTAAAAGTTTTCAACACTTAATTTTGCATATATATATGCCTTCTAACTCAAAATCTAATACTAACCCTAACTAATAATAATTTTGATTTTTTTTAAAATATATATTAACCTGCGATATCACCTACAAATTTTATTAATTCATTCGAGTTGACGAGTCCAGTCACTAATTGTGAACGTCACTGTTTGACTAGTAGTATAGATGCTGGTGAAACTGGTGAAACTCTTGGTGAATGGTGGTGAAACTGGTGAAATTTAATATAACAACCAATCAGATTTTAGATAGTCACCAGTTTCACCAGCGTTATTTAGTTTCACCATCATCTATAGTAGGTAGTTATCAAGATATCATCGCTCAAAGTTTGAAAAAAACTTAACCATGGTCTTTGTTTAATGATTGTCTAAAATTTTTACTAAACTTTAATAGTTTTAGGAGGTTCAACAAGTGATTGAATAGTTATCAAAGAAAGTACAAACTTGAAATATATATTGAATTAATTGCATTACATAATTTCATCGTCTTTTCTTTCCTTTCCCCTTTCCTCGTATGGTTTCGTTAGGATTTCTACGACCATAACCAATCACTGGAACTCCACAAGAAGTGGAAAATCCTGATCCAATGAAAAGTTTGGGAACATAATCAGGATCAAATATATCCACTTCTTTTTGCTTACGATGACTCTTTAAGGCATTTTGATACTCTTTTTGATCTTCGCGAAGAATAAGATTGTTGGCGTGACGACCACCTTTTGGATTTGGTATTGAATACTAATATTTATATGAAGGAAATTTAGAATTAATACAAAATTACAAAATTTTAAATTTGCACAACGCTTAGTTACCTTAGTTCCACGTAGATTATATTGAAAATTCTTTTTTAAATAATAAGTAACCTTGCCGTTCATATCCGTACTGGCTGACGTGCGAATTAAAGTAGCACTGCCACAAGAAGGGCAAAATTGTTTTTCCGTGTTGGTAGTTATTCTATATTATTTCCCAGAAGTGTCATTACTTGTTTTAAAAATATATTTAAACAAATAATAAAT